GCAACATTTATGTAATCATTTATTAGTGTAACAGTCCAGTGGGTAGGTGTCATGTCAATAGGACATGTTCTTTCAGACCTCCTTTTGTTTTACTGTATCATGATCGAAAACAGCAGCAATTGTTAAGAGTTACCCAGAGCTATAGTCTGAGACTATCCTACAGTTTTTTAAAATTTATCTTCATTATTAAAAGCATTACAGAGCCTCCCACCCCACTGATACCCTCCACCTTACCCCTACCCACCCTGCCTTCACTGCACTGTGGTCTGTGTCCATTGGTTATGCATACAGGCATATTACTCCTTTGTTTAATCTCTCCTCGCCCCCTGCCCCCTCGTCTCTGAGGTTTGTCAGTCTGTTCCCCACTTCCATGTCTCTGGATCTAGCTTGTTCATCAATTTGATTTGTTTATTAGATTCCACAAATACGTGAGATCACGTGCTACTTTCTTTCTTTGAAAAAGTAATTGCATCAGCTTTGGACCTGGGAAAGTTTGGGCTTTATACAAAATCTCAAACAGTCTAAGCCTCTGTATATTATTTGAAAAAATATAATTGATATTTTCATATCTTTTTAGTATTTTTCTTTAAATTTTTCTAGTTTTGCAAGTCTAGTGAGATAGCCATTTTTTTTACATTATTATACAGAAGTAGTGTTCTACTGTAACTTTAGATTGTTGTAATATCATTTGCTATCTGAGATCTAAAGATTTTTAAATGAAGGTCATGTGCCACCTAACGTTTTGGTCACTGCCAAACCACATATATGACAGTGGTCCCTTAAGATTATAATGGAGCTAAAACATGCCTGTTGCCTAGTGACGTGGCCGTTGTGATGCTGGGCACAACACATTACTCCCATGTTCGTTGTGATGCTGGTGTAAAATGTTACTGGTTTGCGTATTTACTGTGGCATGCTTTATATCATTATTTTAGAGCTTACTCTTTCTACTTCCAGAAAAGTAAGTTTGCTGTAAAACAGAGCTATGCCTCTCCAGCAGCAGCCAGTGTCCCGTGTTTACCCTGTCTGCTGATGGCATCCTTTTCTCCGTGCGTGGTGTCCTCTCCTGTACGGGTGTCAGCCCAGGAGCAGTGGGTGGTGCCCGGCAGCCTAGGTGTGCAGTGGGCCGCACCCTGCAGGTGTAAGCGCACTAGGGTGTCCGCACAGCGACAGGATCGCCTGGCGACGCCTCTCTCGGAGCGTAGCCCCGAAGGTGGGCAGTGCATGACTGCAACTGGTTGTTTAAAATTTCAAAAGAGATCTTATGTATTTTTTATAGCAAGTTCCATAAATATATAATAAAAATAAAATTTGTTTTCAAAACTGTAAAGATTTGGATGGGATCCTGCTGCTATTTGATCGGGGCTGCGCTGGATTTTCAAATTCTTAACTACAGAATGCTCCAAGTGTTCTGAGAAACGTTCATTTTTATTTTAGTGGTATATTTCCAAAACTTCGTAAGAGGGAAGTCTTTATATATCAGTGGGAACAACTGCCTGTAATTTTCTCTTAAACAAGTTTGGAATGGATACTTCATATTACGAAACAATCGTCCTTCCCATAACCAGTGTCTGACAAGACGACATGCTGCCTCATGGTTTGGTGACTCTTTTAGAATTTTATTGTCATGATTCACTTTTTGTTTTTACCTGCTAATGTGTTTTAAATTGGGATTATTTTTAAGTATAAATCTTTTATTGTCATTTGTAATTGCAGTTTATGGCCAGTTGTAAAATTTTCTAGTGTTTCCAAGTTACTGGTGGCAGAATCAGATTGATTTAACACATATTTACTTATCTGTTCTCGTTTCCTAGTTCACTTGAATGTTATATACTTAAGATAATCCCCACCCCCCAACCCTGGCCGGTGGCTCAGTGGATTGGAGTGTCTTCCTGTACATGAAGAGGTTTAGGATTCGATTCCCAGTAAAGGGCACATACTTGGGTTGCAGGTTCGATCCCCAGCCAGGTGCATGCAGGAGGCAACCAATCGATGTGTCTTTCTCACGTTGATGTTTCTCTCCCTCCCCCCTCCCTCCCACTCTATCTAAAAATACCCTCAGGTGAGGATTCAAAAGGAAAAAAAATGTACAGAAATGCGTATTGTGAACACAAGATTAATCAACTAATATTTTATGTCATTGTTTTTGTATTTGGAGTAATATCAGTGTTACTTAATGAAGTACTTAATGAAGGTCACTGGCAAGGATGCCTTTCTGGTGGAATTTCTAATGTTCATTGTTCAGAGTCTCTAACTACATTTTTTTCCTAGACATTTTGCTTTTGATTATTTTAACTGATTAATTTAATGGAATGCTTCTATATGGACAGCTATAATATTTCAAGCATGAGAATATCTTTTAAAATCAGATAGGAACAGCCCTGGCTGGTTTGGCTCAGCAGTTAGAGCGTCGGCTTGTGGTTCAGAGAGACCCGGGTTCGGTTCCTGCTAAGGGCATGTACCTCGGTTGCAGTTTGTCCCCGGCCCTGGTTGGGTCATGTGGGTGGCAGCCACTTGATGTGTCCCTTTCACATTGATGTTTCTCTTCTCTCTCCTTCCCACTCTATCCGAACAAAAAATGGAAAAATGTCCTCCGGTGAGGATTTAAAAAAAAAAAAATCAGATAGGAACACCTGCACCTGGATTTACCCCTCTGGTAACTGCTCCTGTTTTTTGTCCTCCCCACCCTCCCCAATTAGGGAACATTGTAGGGGAGGGAGGATTTAGAGTGATTTAAAGTCTCTTCTTTGGAATAATGTGTTGTAAGTGTGCTGATAAACATTAAAGTATAGATATCGAGGTTTTAAACTTAGCAAAACTGTCTCATAAGGCTTTTTTCTTTCGTTCCAAGCATGTGCCTGGAGAGGACGGTGCATCCACCTCGCACCTCTGCAGCATCCACTGCTTGCGGTACACTCGTTACTATGTATTTAAAACCACTTTCCATTTAGGCAGCTTCCCCGCTTAATAAAGGCCTTGAAATGAAGTTAACCTGTGCTGAACCGACTGCTTTTGTGTTCAGCCTTCATAATCAGAAATTCCATTAGGCCGTTTTAGGGATAATAGTCATGTGGATTACTGTCAAGAGGATAAGGATTCTTTGTACCACTTAACCATGCTCTGCGGTTTTGAAACTGAAGATGTCTGGGCCTTACCACCTTCACCTGACTCTTGAACAACTTAAACTTTTACTCAGTCTTGAACCTGTCAGTGATCTTCCATGGACAGATGCATTTTTTAAATGTTTTTATTGATTTTTAGAGTGTGAGGAAGGGAGAGAGAGATAGAAACGTCGATGTGAGGGAGATACATTCATCGGCTGCCTCCTGCACGCCCCCTGCTGGGGATGGAGCCCACAACCCGGGCACGTGCCCTGACCAGGAATCGAACTGGGACCTCTCAGTCCACGGTGTGGCTCAATCCACTGAGCCACACCGGCCAGGCGGAAAGATGCATTTTTAATATGTAAACAGACAAGTTGAATAGTTTGTATAGGGAGATATGGATAGAATTTAGAGTATGGGGTTGAAAACAAACCGAATGCAGTGATGTCAGTGATGGTGGCCGACAGCCAGTAAAGCGTTTTGTGACCATTCCCACATTGTGTTCCAGAGAACACTAGCCCCGTGTGCTCATGGGGCACACTACTTTGAGAACTATTGCCTACTCTTGGAGAGTCAGAGAACACAGTCGTATATTTAAGGTTCTGGGAAATCCTAGAGTAAAGAATCCTACCTACCTATGTTTAACCTAGTGTGTCTCAAACTTATTTGATCATAAAATTCTTTTCTTCACATAACATTTGTTAAAGACCCTTGGAACACACTTTGGAAAATGGGATCCTGTAATGTAGGCGATACTTTCAGATCCAGCATCATATTTGATTCTCAAAAGCGCCAGCCCTCAGAAGGACTTGCTGTAAGACCGGAGGCTGACTTTGAGGTCGAGTTGGAGAGGACAGGGCTGGGGAAGCCGATCTGGGATGGCTGGGGGCAGTGGGTAAACCAGGGCCAGAAGGAACATCCAAGGGAAAGAAATAGACCATCCTACTTCCAGAAGCTGTCTGCCCAGCACCCAGGCTCTGGGCAGAGAGCGGGGCGTTCAGGAGACCCATCCAGCCGCAGGCGGGTGTTGGTTACTAGTTCTGAGAAATGCCGTCCACCAGGTAGGGGCACACTCTGTTATGTTTCCCCACTACCCGAATGTGCCCTGTGGCTTATGTTCGTCCTTCCCTACCTCTGCTTGTGATCTTCCCTGAAATGCCCAGTCCTTTATTCTGAGAACATGTTAGGCACCGTAAATGCAGAGGAAAGGTAAGTTCCCGCCCTCAAGGAGCTTCATTGCGGTAAGTAGACCTAAAAATAAACAGGCCTGTATCCTATCGCATATAAGGGATAAGGCCATGGGCACAGATCGGAGGAATCTAGAGGAGGATTTGTTTTTTTAGTTTGTAAACTAGATTGACACACTGGGGGAAGAAGAAAGCAGTGCTGCAGCCGGTGAAAACCAAGCAATTCTCCACGATGGAGCATGTATTGGAGCTAGAGGCCCGGCTGGCGCTGGGTTTTTAGCAAGGGGGCCTCAGCGTATGAGTTGTCATCAGAGGAGTCTCTTGGCTGGAGTGGAGCATGAGCTAGCAAAGAGCTAGAACAGAGGCAGAAAGACACAAGCGTCACAGCAGCCAGGGCAATAGCATCGTCCAGGAGAGGGAGGAAGAGTCCAGAGATGCTACCACAGTCCCAGAGCTTGCGGACTGGTGAGCGTCGGGTCAGGAGCGGTGCGGAAGCCAAGATGAATCACTCTCCTGCCTTGCTTGTTACCAAAGGAGAGAAACAGACATGGTTTTCATTGAACCTTAAAACACAGCCAAGATTTAGGGAAAAGATTGGATTGGGTTCCAACTGCTCCTGTCACCGGGGCCACAGTGCGCTAGGGGAAGTCCTTGCATGGACGGGTGGGGCAGGCTTCCGACGGTCACTGTGTCCCTTGTTCTTCTCAAGTCACGTGACACAGACCACGTCCTGGACCCATCCCGTGGTGAGCGCGCTGAGCCTGTCCTGCTCCGAGGAGGACGAGGGCTGCTCCAGAGAACTCCCTGACCCCAAGAGCTGACGGCTGGCTCTAGGAAGCTGAGCACGTGGTCGTGCAGCGTCTCGGTCCACACGGATGGCCCCGGAGCGCCAAGGTCCGAACGAGGAGCAAACGCACACGACGTATTGAAGGTGTGAAATGGAGACCCTGGCTTTGGGCTATTTTCGTGAAACTTTTTGCTGTAACCGTATATTTTTACAAGATCAATTGCCACTACAGTAGTTCTTTGAGACGAATCTAGTCCAATTTGTTTGGAAATCACATATAATTAGATTTTTATATTATGTATACCTTTTATATATAATTAGATCTTTATAATTTTATATACAGTTCTTTGTGGAGTGTCTGATAACAATGAGTTCTATAATTGACACATAAGCAAATGATGTGAATATCAGTGAAACTTCATTTCTTTGGTAACTCACTAACCTTTTATATTGGTATCTTGGGAAAGGGATTTCAGCAAGCTCTTGGGTTTTGTTTTGTTTTGTGTTTTTAAAGATCACAGACAACTCTCACAGGCTACCGGATACAGCCTACGTTTGTATGGGGCTTTCTCATTTACATACTGCTTTTCTGCCCTGTTTCCTTGAACCAGCCAACACGCCTCTGAGGCAGATCGAGTGGGACATTTTTATTCTCGTTTTTCAGTCGTGGACATAGTGGTTTGTCCACATGAGGCTCCCTGTCCCAGAGCTGAGACTCACGCCTAGGTCGTCTGGTCCTCCGCCCGCCCTTTCCCCACTGCACCCTGCTGTCCCGGCAGAGGGAGGTCACAGCTCAACACACAGGCCCCGTGTGTCTGTCCAGACCGCTGCGCCCACGCAGTGCGCTCGCTGGCTGCAGAGATTGGGGAGGCACCTCTTCAGTTAAACGTGGCCCCATAGCCCTTCCCCCTTCACCCCAGAGCCTCCCAGGGAGGAGCCTGGTTTTGTGACATTCCATCAGGTGCAGCCCACGTTTTTCCCAGCAAAGGGGCTGGCTCGTACCAGGGACCTGCCCTGCTCAGGTCGCCCTGCCAGAGGGAGCATTCGAGGGGGGCTGGTGAGAAGAGGGGCGTCCAGAATCTCCTCCGCTGTCAAGAGAGACATCCTTGAGCTCTTCTCTGAGTTCCAGACTGACTTCATTATTGCTGATGTCACCTGCCAACCAGTTATGCTCTGATCTTATTCTGTTATTATAAGGATGCTGGACAGTTTCTGGAGGGAATGAGCCATGGACTTGGAGTGCTAAAGATTTTCTCTCCGTTTAATGATTTAAATCCAGCACTGGAAAGTGGGGGGAGGGGGGGGAGTCATTTTCAATGTCCTGGGCATTAGGTACCAACTAAATAAGAAAAAGGCACTTATTCTTATCCAGTGTTGCATATTGAGGTAATATACTTAGAAAGTAAGATTCAGTCATCAGAATCCTTGTTCGCAACCACACCTGATGATACAGCAAAGCTGCTGTGTAACCCCTGACATTGTCTTGTCTCTTCTCCCCACCATCCCCCTAACACCCCTCCCCTCCCCCTTCTCTCCCTCTCTGCCTCCCCACCTCTGAAATACAAGTCGGAAAACAGAACTCAGAACCTTGAGGATCACCTGATTCAGTGATTTTTCAAACACCTTCTGGTGAAAAAGACTCGTTTTTCAAATAAATTTTTGTGCAGAATCCCAACATACGTAACAATTTTTAAAATACCGCTGCCCTGCCTGAAGCAAGGTGGAAGCCGGAGCCCCGCGGAAGCCGCCCCAGCCTGCTGTGCACACCCAGAGCCCCCCTCCCGAGTGTGGCCTAGAATGCGGGCCCGAAGCGTTCACACGGAGACTAGGCCAGGCCAAGGGTAGATCGAGACCCTCAGTCTCCCAGTCTGCTGGCCTGTCGTACAGATGTGTGCTGTAAATATATGTGTACATGTGCTCACCCATACATTCCTGGATGGATGAGGATCTACCCATTCATGGCTTGGTTAGCAACATGCGGTCAGATCCAGGCTGAGAGGTCAGCCCTGAGGAAGGTTTCAGAATGGCTGAGGAGACGTGGGCTTCGCCCCACGGCTGCTGGAACCTCAGGGGCGCAGGGAGACAGGCTTTGGAGAGGCCCCTGAGGGCCCCCCTTTCTGTGTCCCCCAGAGGTGAGGTTCTCAAGCACCTGAAGTTACCTTGACAGTCAGTCTCTGTAATTGTGAAAGTCCAGGCGGAGTATTTCTACTCGGAGGAAGTCACACTGCTAAGCAGCGGCTTTCCTTTGACCGACTGTACCGTGATCATTTCCCACGTCAGGACATAGTGATCTGTATCCGCATAAAATATCACTACCCAGATAACTCTTGTGTAGCCAGCGAGCCACTGCCGGACACTTGGACTGTCTTAAGTTTCCTGTTACTCACAATGAATGACCCTGTGAACATCCTTGCAGTCATGTTCTTGTATTTATTATACCCTTCTCCTCAATATGTCTGTAGTGGCAATGCATTGATGAAGTACATTTGCTGTGTCAACGATAGGTTCATTTTGATTTTGGAAGGTATTCGTAAGTTTTCCTCCATAAACAAAGGATCAGTTTATACTACCACCAAGAGTGTATGAGAGCTGTTTTTCTCTATGTTACCGGACTTTTTCTGGTCCTAAGATTGACAGTGACTCTGGTTGTTCTTGTGCTTAGAGGAGGAGCTTTGTTTCCATTGTTGCCTGAGGACCTGAACTTTTTCATCAGTAGGTTTTAGTTGTTTTTGTTTGTTTGTTTGTTTGTTTGTTTGTTTGTTTTGAGCAGTGGAGACTGATCCCCTCTGTAGAGGAGAGTTAGCAGGGACTAACTGACAGATGTCGAGCCATCATTACTCTTAGCTTCTTGCCTGAACATATTTACCTTCCCTACCATATATATATATATATGGATATATAGCTCATAGAAAGACATATATATATGTATCACATATGATATATATGATATATACATATGGTTATGAGGACCAACTTTTAAATGAGCTCACTTGGGTGAGAGTCCTTAGTCAAGTTCAGAGCACAGTACAGACATACCTACAAGTTCTCTGAGCCTCAGTTTCCCCATCTGTATAGAAAGGATCATCAGGAGCCCCTGCTGAGGGCCAGACAGGAGGTCAGGGCTTGCAGTTACCGTGGGGAACAGGACCAATAACCAAATCCAAAAGTTCATACTCCAAAGCCTTTTTCCTTCTTTGCCTTTTCTCTCAAAAACCTTTAATTTTTCCTTAAAGGAGTAAGAAGCTAGGGGCCTGTTTAGTAAGAACCCCTGAAGAGATGCCCTTTATCACTCTTAAATTTGAATAATTCCAAAATAACACGCCTTCCGTAGACATGAAAGAACAGAAACACACTCTATAGAGGCCTCTCCGATAATGAACGCAGAGCAGCTGTGAAAATAGAGAGTCAAATTATGCTTTCATAAACTGCTTGCCAATTTTGAAAATATTATTCTTTATCCAGGGCAAAGTGGGCTATTTGTGTCTTTTCTGCTGAATGATATGCAAGATTTTACAACGTATAGAACAGAAAGAACTGAACTGACGTTAAAACAACTTGTGTGCTCTGTGGCATGTAACTTTTGAGAAGATGAAAAGAACTTGAAACACAACAGGCATGTGGAGCATAACTTTGGAAATAAAACACCCCAGATGTTTTACCCACAACCGTCCACCTGTGATATCATTGCCTGCGTGATGGTTATGTAAATAGCAGATGCAGTTCTGTATGTGCTTTCTTCATATGCTTTCTACATTTCAATAACACTATTTCGGTTCATTACTTTTGTTTGATTCTTACTCTTGGGTTGAGGGGGGCGTGTCTGAGAGAAAGTGCAATCAATCAGATCGATAGCTTGGATCCCCCATCTCCATTCCCCGATCACCAGATGATGATGATGGTGGTGATGATGATGATGATGATGATGATGATTTACCATTTCATCCTGTTTATTTTTACATTACTTATCAGTGTGTACAGTCGTCCCTCGCCACTTCGCGCTTTGACGTTTGCGGCTTCACTCTATCGCGTTCTTTGAAATACCATACTATATCGGAAAACTGCGAGAGTGAAGCCAAACGTCCAAGCACAAAGTGGCAACGGATGACTGTATATAAATAAGGAATCCTACTTCACGGAAATCCATTTATCACGGTAGAGTCTGGAACTGGTTAACCGTGATAAATGAGGGCCGACTCTAAAGATGTTTTTGTTTATTGTCTTCCTTTATAATAGGAGCAATAACGGGTGTGAGCTCCATGAAGGTAGGGATTTGTCTGTCCCGTTCACCATGGTAGCTTCAGGCCCCATCAGAGTGCCTGTCACATGGCGGCTGCCCGATGCCCTCCTCGAACTGAATGTGTGATCTGCTGTGTGTAAGACTCAGTTCCCAGCCCAGCTCGCACGCCTGTGTCTGTGTATTCACGTCAACACTTGCTGAAGTGCTGCAGGAGGCCAGACACTGCTGAGTACCAGGGGTACAGACAGACTTCGTGAGCCTAGCTCCCACGTGATCTGTATTTCAGGGAAAGAGCGTTCAACTTAAATTAACCAAAGCAGTTCCATTTATTTTCTTTCTCCCCCTTCATCCCGTACTTGAACTTGCCGACCGTTTGATGTTCATTGCCTCCAGAAAGAGCTGGGTGTGCCCTCAGAAAGCAGAGGAACACGTGCTCTTCGAGGTTTAAAGGTCTGGCTCCTTGGGGTGCTGGAAAGAACTCATGATTTGGATCAAAGATTCCAGAGCACACAAAATGGAGAAGGGTAAGGCTTTCCTACTGCCCGTCTGGGAAGTAATCCCCCGATTGTGCGAGGGGAGAAAGACCAAAATGTTGGTGGGCTCAGAGATAGGGGCCCCACCTCCTGAGGCCACTTTCTTGGGAGCAGTAGAACCCCAGTGATATATGTCAGTTCTGAGAGCAGAGGAGACTTGTCCTCACTGTACCCGAAGACGGAAATGCGTCAGTGAGCTTCCTCCAGCCCAGTGTCCACCTTAGGAAATCAGATTGGTTTCCATGCACCCTGAAGGATTACAGGGTCCTGAGTGAGGATGTCCACTCAATCCACGTGGCTTCTCAGTGAAACCCCGTTTGTCAGTGACAGCAGACCACCCAAACCCAGTGCGGTGGCACTAGATGAGCCTCCCAGCCCTTAGCAGTGACTCCAGAGAGTGAGGGAACCGCATGTGGGCCGAGGTCAGTGCTGGGCAGGACCGTTTCTTTCCTGTGCTGATGTTGCCTTC